TGGGGCCCCCGTCCCCCCCCCCCCCCTTCCCCCCCCCCCCTTCCGCCCCCCCTTTTTTTTTTTTTTTCCCCCTCCGTTCTTTCCTTCTGGCGTTCCCCTGGCGCTTTCCCCTTTTCCACCCGCTTGTCTTGCTTTTGTTTCAGTTGTCGCTGCGGGGATTTAGCATTCCTTCCCCTCCTTAGCATGCTGAGAGAGAATGTGTTGCTTCTCCCCAGACCCCCGTGGGCTCCGAAACATCTCCATCTCCCAATTCTAGCTCATCCATCTACAATCTGTCGATAGGAATTACCGTACAGTTAATGTCTTAACTCTGCAGGTTGCTAATATAAACCAGTATTTTACGTGCTAAGCCCCCTAACGCTGCCGCCGTAACGTTCTGCATGCAGATGTCCTTTGAACACGTAGAGCGATGGAGAAAGATGTAGGTTTCTAGATCTGTGGCTGTAGACGCAGGCGCGAGGAATTCATCCCAGGGAAGCCGGCGCGTTGATGATCTGTCGGGGTGGGGGGAGAATCTGAAAACACGCGAGGGGCTGTGAAGGGTCATCGGGGAATGTGACACCTTCGGGTGCTTTTGGTGCTTGGGAAGAGGTAGGGCTCCGGGGCGGGTGCGACGCGGAGCTCCGGGTGTGCTGACATTGGCAGGGGCGTCTATTTGTGCTGCTCTGGTGCCAAGGGGCCCAGTGGCGAGGCAGGGCCCCCGAGGCTCTGGGATTTTTTCCTCTCCTTTGTGAATTTATGCTCTGAAACATCTCCCCGCCTTTTGCAAATGATTTTAGATTTACAAGAGCTTTCTTGAAGCTGGTAAGAGTCTGTATCCTAAAAATATTCCCCAAATGTTTTTCTAATCTCCAATAACTCGTTTCCCGAGAAATCAGACTGGTGATTCCCAGGTTGCAGGTAGATGCAGCAAAGGATTTCTCTCTCCACCACCAGCTTGTTACCCCAGCAACAGGGCATATTTGGCATTTGTAGCTATGGATTCCCACCTCGGTGGTGTGGCGCACGGACCAGAGCCGTGGCAGAGTGGAATCAGCTGGGGGGCAACGGAGGGGTGGGGTGAAACGTGGGCACTGGCACACAGGAAGGATTCCACCTGCATACCGAGCAGGATGGATGTTTCTCTGGATTTCCTACGCAACGCTTTATAATCTTAATCAATACGGCGAGGGAGAAATGCCGACCCACGCTCTTCGCGGCTACGCCAGGCTGGCTCTGCCCTGCTGGTGCATCCCCCCTCTGACCCCTCGCCCCGTCCGCTGCCCCGCCGCCCGGCTCCGGCAGCATCCCCTGGCCCCGATTTGCAGAAGCGCTTGGTTGCACGGGATGCTGTCCCTTTTGAGTCAACACGTCCCGCGATGCCGGTATGGTTTCAGAGGATACTGGGCTGCAGAGGATGAAGTCGGATATTGGGAGTAGTGCCCTTGAGGGCAAGGCTCTGTATCCTACTCCCCACCAGCTCTGAGCCATGCCGTGCTCAAAGTATTGCTCGGTTGTAATAAATCTTGGGTCTCCAGGGGGTGGGAGAGTGGGGGATTATCTGGGAATGGGGGTTGTAACTAGGCCATGTAATATAATCTCTGAGGCCCATTTGGCAGGGAGTGGGCACGGGGGAGGGGTTTTTAATTTGTAATGATTTTTCTTCTCTCTCCCCTCCCCTTCCCTCCCCCCCACCCCTTTATTTCTCCCTTTCCCTGCCCCGGAGCCTGTGTGATAAAGATTAATTTGCTATTTCTGGGCCTGTGACATTTTTCAGAGCCTCCTGCTGGCTGCTGCCTCCATGCCAAGCCTGGCTGGGCTCCAGCCAACGGGATTAGCAAGGAGGGGCCAAGGGAATATGGTGCTCACCATGGAGTGGGGAAGGAAGGAGCAAGGGACTCTCGGAGTAGGTTGTTCTACGTGTAGGATGACTGACTGAAAGCGTACCTGGGTACGTGTGTGTAGATCCTGGGCCTTAGTCCAGAGGATGCGAGGCATAAGCGATAATGGCTGCATGCAAGACTTGGCCCCTGGGGACACCCCAAGGGAAGATGTATCCTGGATCCTTTAATTAGGGCTTCAGTGAGCTAAAGGATTTAGCATTTGGAATCTGCTTCCAGAATCAGGCTACTTCTGCCTCTTGATTTCATATTTTTTAACCGCTCCAGCTTTCCTGGGCACCCAGATGCCTCTTCACATATTTCTAATAAGGCAGTAATGAGGAGGCCAGAAGGAACACGTTGTTTCTGACGAGGTCCCCCAAGAGCCGTGTAGAGGAGAACTAGAGAAAGATAACTTCTTCCTCCCAGCCTGTTTTAGGCTTCTTTATTTCCAGAGAAGAAGGTGGGGAGGGGTGGTTGTTCCCTGCCACTGGATGATATTCTGCTCCTTTCCTACTGAATCTGCCATCGGCGGCTAACCCGTTCCTGTGCTCCATCACCTCAGCAAACAAGCACAAACCCTGGATTGAAGCTGAGTATCAGGGCATCGTCATGGAGAACGACAACACAGTCCTGCTCAACCCACCGCTATTTGCGCTGGACAAGGACGCTCCGCTGCGCTATGCAGGTAGGTGGGCGACAGTTCCGGGAAGGGTGGGAGGCAGGGAGAGACTTATAAAGAGGCAGGGACAGGGTGACATTCATTCCTGTGCTGGAGTCTAGCTCCCTCCAGGAAACGATCACCTCCCAGCCTTGTTCTGGAGGAGGTCCCCAGTGAAGTCTGGAGGCAATTCGGGCACAGCTTGATTTAGGATGCTGTGAGCCGTTTCCTTTAGGGAGAGAAATCGAGGGTGGAGCCAGCTACTTTTTGACGCAGTTCTGCTATTTCCAAAGATCACATGCACAGCTCTGTGTCTGCGAGCACTGGAGGAAGCTGGTAGGGCACACTTGGTTGGCAGTGCCACGTCCCCTCACGGTAAGCACAAATCCCTGAAACTACAGACGAGGCTTTATGAGGGTTGTTTTCCTGGCCCTTGCTTAGGTCGTGCCTGGAGCTTCCTTACGCATCCTCCCGCAGCTTTGGGAGAGGAAAAGCGGTCCTTGGGAGCTGAACTTTAGGATTTAGGTGACCCTATCTGCAGTTCCCTGCGGTGCTGTGCGCATCCTGCGTGTGTGGGTGGATGAGACATCGTGGATCTTCACGCTTTGGCTGGCTGGCTGCAATATACGGCCTGTTTTGCCTCCCTGAGGGATGCAGAGGAGAAATAAGGTGCTCCCTCAGTACTGTGGCTGTGTAGCGCTAATAAATCTAGCTCGAGCCTTGTAACCTCTAATCTTTCTTGATGCTGGTCAAGACTCCTTGCCGCGGGAGCAGTCCCCAGCAGAGGGCAAGCTACGCCGTTAATGGCTGTGAGAGATAGCAGGAGGAACTCCTAGGGAACCAAAAATTGCTCGAAATGAGAGGTGATAATGAGGGAGACAGGAGAGTGTAAGTTAGAAAGGAAGAAAATATGGGAGAGGGAAGCAAGGGGGCATAACGCGCACTCCTCAGTCCTTTTCTTTCTCCCCTTCCTCTCTGCCTTTGTGGGTACCAGGTGAAATCTGTGGCTTCAGGATCCATGGGGCAGGGGTACCTTTTGAAGCTGTGATCCTGGACAAAGCTACAGGTGAGGGGCTGATCCGGGCCAAGGAACCAGTGGATTGCGAAGCACATAAGGAGCACACATTCACCATCCAGGCTTATGACTGTGGAGAGGGACCTGATGGAGCAAATACCAAGAAATCACACAAGTAAGTCCCTCTAGTCGTTGCTGCAT